CTTCCCCTCCCACCGCACCACCCCGCTGTGCATCTGGAGATCTGCGTCCAGTTGTTCTGCGCTCCTCGGTGCGAGAAAGACGAGGAAATGCTGGCGGGGGTCCAGCGCAGGCCGCGAAGATGATAAGGGGTCTGGAGCATCTCTCTGATGAGGAGAGGCTGCCTGTTTAGTCTGGAGAGGAGAAAACTGGGAGGGGATGTCATTAATGCATATAAATATCTCCGGGCCGAGTGCCAAGAGGATGGTGCCGGGCTCTTTTTAGTGGTGCCCAGTGACAGGACGAGGAGCAGTGGCCATAAACTAAAACAAAGGAAGTTTCCCTCAAACCTGAGGAAGAACTTCTATTACGTTGTGGGTGCAATAGCACTGGACAGCGGATTGGCAGGGAGGGCATGGAGTCTCCCTCTCTGGAGACATTCCAAACCCACCTGGATGCATTCCTGTGTCACCTGCTCCAGGTGACCCTGCCTGGGACTGGGTGATCTCCAGAGGTCCATTCCAACCCCAGCTGTTCTGCTGTCCCCCACCTGACCCCAGTGCTGACCACAGCCATGGCCAAAACCACAGGGCAGCCGTGTGGGGCCTGTGGAATGAGGAATTTGAAGAAGCAAAGCTCACAGAAAGTTTCTCTGGGGGAACCATCGCCAAGCTGGGGAGAGGCACAAGTGTGGGTGGGAGGGAGGGTGAGAATGGCCAGGGTATCCCGAGGTGAGGAGGTGTCACTGGTGGGACTGACAGATCCAGAGCCAATGGAATTTAGCTCAAGTTTGTCCTGGATACTGGAGGTAAGGAAGTCGAGAGGAGAGGCAAAAGGGCTAAGGGTAGGGGAAATAAAAGGAGGGAAATCTTTCTTCATCAAGGGGAAATCTGTTTGTCCATGCCAGAAGTGTGCCAGTGGAAGGACAGGCACCAGAGGAAGCCTGGGAGACAGTAACAAGGTGAGTAAACAATGTCCTTAAGCAGCAACATCCTCAAAGTGAGAGTGGTTCCGTGGAAAATATTTTGATTTTGAAAAGAGCAGCTACAGTTTGTGTTTTGCTCAGCTGACAGTATGTTTTGGTAACACACCAGCATGAAAATGACTGACATGGACGCTGGTGTTTGTGAGCCACGAAAAAGCATGTCTTAGCCAGCCAGAGCATTGAAACTTGATTTACAAGGTAGAAAAGGAACATTTTCTCCATTCTCCACACTGACACTTGCTCTGTGCAGTATGGCAAGGCAATTTAAAGGTACAACATAAATACTGCTAGAAGTTATGTTGTTGAATTGGCTTTTGTTAGTCCGTTTTTAAGAGCAATGTTACTGTTTCTCATCGCTCTTTTCTTCAGTATTGCAAACCAAAAAGCACGGGAAGATGATCGGTGGCGATCGTAGGTTCAGATCTGCTCCCACTGAAGTCAGCACTGATTGGGTTGCTGTAACAGGGCAGATTGCTGATGGGATGATGTGCTTGGGGCGGGGGACAGAGAGTTTACTGGAAGGATCCCAACTCTGTGTTAGTCATGAGTGGCAGAGCCCTCATCAAATTCTGCAGAGTACCTTGCAGAATTCCCAATAGGTGACAGTAAGTAAGTAAGTATGTGTCACATACACTGCAGAAATGCTGTTTCAGGAAAGTCTTAAGTGTCTTCTTCTTATATTTTGTCTCCCTCTGCCGTAAAAAGATGCACCAGTAATCATGATCCAGACTCCTGGGTAGGCTGGGCTGGTGGGGTAGCTCCATGGAGGCAGATTTGCTCCCTGGCTCCAGAGAGAGGTGGCTGCAGGGATCAGTGCACATCCCTCTGCTCTCTTCTGTGCAGTAAAAAGATGTGATGATAGGAGTTTATTTTGGGGCTCCCTGGTCTAAATACCAATGAGATCTGGCACGGTTTTTGTCACTGTCTCCACCATCCATTCTCCAGCTTTCCCAGAGTCCATGCAGCCACACACTGCACTTCTCATGTCAGTCCACTGCCCTGTCCGCTCTTTTTCCACTTGCCTGAAAGTGGTAAATCTGCTTGCAACACACCCTCTGAGTAAAAGTGGTCCAAATAACCTCTGGGGCCAGGTTTTTTTGGGTGCTCTGTACTTCTCTAACTCCAGTTTAAGTCAATGGCAGTTCTAGG